CTCCTGAGTCTAGGAGGTGGTCCTGAGTGTAGGTGGTGCTCCTGAGTCTAGGAGGTGGTCCTGAGTGTAGGTGGTGCTCCTGAGTCTAGGAGGTGCTCACCCCAATGACACAGCCTCCCCCTCGGTGGTCAGTGGACTAACCCCTCTCTGCCATGGGGACAGCAGCCTCTAAGGAACGCAGACAGCCAGGTGGTGGCCTCTTCTTCCAATTCAGCAGACCTAGTGTTTGTCCCCAAGGGGAGACATTTCTCCCTCAGGGCCTTAGACTTCCAAACCAGCAGAGCTCCAGGGTGGGAAGCCAACAGCAAGGGGTACCAGATGTGGTCAGTAAGGACTACTCCCCCCCCGCCCCCAGACCCACACACCGCGGCTGTGGGGGACAGCGACACCCAGCGGTCTCAGGCTTACAGCGTATACTGGATCCCACAAAGTGGAGCTGCCTACATCCAGAGCACTCACTGCTGGCACCACGAGGAAGCCACTTGTGGCAGAACCAGTGACGTGCCCGCTCCCTCCGAGTCCCCAGGACGCGGGCCAGCACCGCCCCCAGCCCGGCGGTGGGCAACCTCCTTTACACAAGGGCCCGGTCACCCAAGAGCATTTATGGGCCATGATTCTTTTCACTTCTCAAAGTGAGTCTCCAAATACGTGCGTTCTTGGAACCTACTCGAGAGACAGGTCAACAGACCCACACCACTCACCGCCCCCACCGCCCCAGACCGGAGAGGCCACCGAGGGGCATGGGGCACGCTTTGTCATGAGACCGCGCCAAACCCCAAACGATCAGCCCCAAGTAAGTTGCAATTCGAAGGCCTTATCTCATTCCTTAAACCCACAGACCCCAATCTTCTGGGACTTTGAACAGAATTTAAGGGAAGTGACACCACCTTGGGACACACGAAAGCTCTAAGGAACCTCAATGCCATCGGAGTGGCGTGGGAGTTAGCCAGAGGTCCGAGATAAGCCGTGCCTGAGACCCAGACCTCCATAGCGACGGACCCTGCGCTGGGCAGGCCTCCAGCGTGGCCACTAACCGTCGGGGTGGGAGGGTGTCCGCTTGCTCAGGGCACAGAGCTGGGACGGTCCGGGCAAAGGGCCCTGGGACATTGTCGTGGCCGTTCCCGCCTCCAGAGAGGGCAAGGCAGAACCGCCAACACGGATCCGCCGGCTACCACCCTGCAGGGACAGAGGAACAGGGACGTGCGCGGCTTCTGCCTCGAGGGCCGAGACCATGCTCGTGGGCCCCCCAGGGGACCGCAGTTCAGCATAGGCCCCAAACCCCCTCCTGCTGGGGTTTCTGTGAACGGCTTAAAAAAAAAATTAAAATGACCAGAATGCACTTTGGCTATGCCCTGGGATAGGACTTGACTTTTTTTAAGTGAGGAAAGAAACTTAAAAATATAAATACTGAAGCATCGTATGGTAGGTTCCCTTTGAGAAGATGTGAATTCAGAAACACGAACCTCTTTAAGAAATCAGTTGTGATGACAGGGAACCCGCTGAGCAACCACTCCAACCTAAAAATACTTTGTTCATCAAGGACTGCGAGGATGATTGCCTTTCTCCGCGCCAAGGACGGTGAAGAAGAGAGAACATTCGGGATGCAGGAAGCCTAAGCCTTGCTGACTGGCTGATCAGGAGCGCGTCTCAGGTCAAAGGCGCCAGGGACGAGTCCAGGACGCTGGAGAAAAGCAAGGACGCCGCTATCAGGTGAGGTCCTGAAGTCGGACATGAGCTCGGGCCCCTGCTGGTGCCACCATCAGAGTAGCTCCACTCCGATGGCACCCCCTGCTTCTCTCTCTGCTCCGGAATGCCGTCTGCGCCACTTCCCTCACCAAAACCCCCACCTAACTTTCAGGTTCCAGGCATCGGCTCGCCGTGCCACCACCGTCTGGCCCACGGGTCCCAGGGGTCACCCTGCTGTCCGTTTCGGGCTCATCCCCCCTGCAGAGAGCAGCGGTGGCAGGCTGCGTGCTTCATGGACGGTCAGACGACAGGACGTGCACCGGTACCACACACTCGGGGACCAGAGAAAGTGCACGCGCCTCCCGGCGTCTGGTTTTCTACCGCCCAGACGGGCGCTCCCACGGCAACCCCGTTAGCTGCCGGACGTTCTGGGGTCCCACAAATACAGGTGCCAACAGCCCCCTGTAGTCTTTGTGGACCTTGTGCTGTGAGGGTGAACCGGATCCACCGTCAGCACGAGACCAAATGCACAATACACAAACGGAGAAGATATTCCCGTTTAAACGAGAAGCACTATTAGCCCCTGGGAGTATTAGCGATACCATTTTCATCTGGAAGACAAAACCGCTCACGGGAAATTCGGGAATTTCAAACGCAACTTTTAATTCACTGCACTATGTATTCTGAGAGCTTCCACATACAAGCGTGTCCAGAAGAGGAAAGCACTTTTTTGTTTCTAAGGGTGAGGAAATTGTTATTATTCCTCCTCCTGCTCTCCCCACAGAACTCACACAAAAGAAGCTAAAATAAAAAGGGACAATAAATGCAAAATAAAAAAGAAAATCTAAGTAGTACGAAATTAGTTTTTATTTTTACCTCAAAATAAACGCTTAACATTTTTCCAAAACCGAAACTAAAGGTGAACACTTAGAAGGGTGGGCTTGAGTTCTGCGTCCGCTGGGGAAGCCGGCAAGGCAGGCAGGCATTCTGACGTGTGCGGTTCTTCCCGCGGGACTAGTCTAGACCCCCAGCCCCCACTTCTCTATGGTCAGTCGGCAGTCGCAAGGGGGCCCCTCCCCCGTCCCACCCCCACACCCACACAAACAAAGGATTTGGGAAGCTGGGGAAAAAATCGTCTAACACGTGAGCAACATTCATAGAAAATCCCTCATCAGGAGATGCCGAGAAGGCTTGCTCTGCGGGCGGCCTCTGCACCCCGGCCCCGGGCTGCGCCTCAGCCACACGCCCCGGCTCACCACAGGGATGTCTTGAAGTTGAACTTGAGCTTCAGCAGGTACTTCAGGTTTACCTGAGCAATGTCGTAGACGATGTACCTGGAGGGGACGCGTGTCAAGGAGCGCACGGTTTCACGGTGGCCAGAGCACGCGCTGCCCCCATGCCGGTCAACCAGGCGCACGTGAGTGACCGCAGCCCCAGAACGTCCCTCTGAGCGGACGGCCTGGCTCCCTCGCAAAGGATACTCGTTATACAGCAGGCAGGTGTCGCTGACGCCGGACGAAATCCCCGTCCCCAGGGGAACTTCCACACCGTCCATAGTGATACTGGCTGCAGGATCAGGGGTCGTCTTGCCCAAACCTGCGGAACCATGAGGACAGAGATTGGAAATGTTCCAAGATGAGATCCGTTTTCTGTCAGTTCTATGTGTTCGTTTTAAAGACGTGCCCGCATTCCCTACTCTATCCTTCTTCCAGATACAAACCCGTAGTTCTAAATCAAGCTCCCAGGGCGCATGCCTTACTGATTTCGGTAACAAGAGCAGCGCCCCATCCCCCAGCCCGGATTGTATTTCTGCTGAGCCCAAGTCCGAAGCAGTCACTCCAACCTGGCAGGTGGAGGCCCTAAACCAGCAGGTGCTCCACGCTCCAGCAATCCCAGATACCGTGGGCAGTGCTCCGTCAGGGGACGTCCCTGAGTGCTGCCGCTGAGAGTTGTGTTAAAACCCAAAGCTGATGCCGCCGGTTCCTGGGGCTCGAACCGAGACGCGGTCAGCACTTGCGACACCAGCAGCAGACAAGGCGACCTGATTTTCTAACGGACCCCCAGCTGTTTTCCAGCCAGAGGCGCGCGGCCCGCTGGGGAGAGACGCTGGAGCAGCACTTTCTGGAACACGGTACCTTTGACGCTGTGCTTGCCCTTGGGGAGCTTGCTGATGTGTGAAGCGTGCTTGAGTTCGTACCTACGGGAGAGAGGACCGTCCCAGAAGGGCCTCTGACCCCGGGCTCTCAAACCACCAGTGTGATGAGCAGGAGGCCAAGTGAGAAGAACCACCCAGCCCGCACCCATGGTTTCGGGAAGTGAAGGCGCAGTTCCCGTGAGCGGCCTGTGCCGGCCATCACTGCTATGGGGCCACTTGGCTGTGGCCGGCTGCTCCAGAGGCTTCTCTGTCTGCCCAGGCCATGAACCCCAGGCCCCTGCTCTATTACACGACCCTGCTCTCTGCGTCATGGTGACGGGACCAAGGTGGACACCCGATGCAGGCAGGACCAACTGGTTTTCTGCAAGGACTCTGAAACTGGGATTGACTCCAGTTTGATCTGAGTTGGTCTTAAACGTTTTAACATCTGTGGGTACGCATGCGTGTAGGGGGCGACCCATCCTTTGTGCAATTCAGCCCACAGAGAGGATGGACGCTGCCAGTTCCTGAGACCTGGCTGGATTCCTCAGCCCTGCGGCTCCCTCGGTCACTTAACTAGAACCGGTTTCTACCATCGTGGTGGGGAATTTCCAGGGTCCCCTCCCGGCCAAGCAGAGCTCTCCTCCGTAGACCCAGCGCGTGCGTCCCCAGCAGCGGCCCCAGCCAAGGCCTGGCTGACTCACATGTTCCCGAGGGCGACTTCTCCCAGCAGGATCAGGCCCACGGGGTCTGCCTGGGACGTGCGGCAGTAGTTGGCGCTCTTGGAGACCATGTCGGCGAAATAGATCCCTTTACCAAACATGTAGCCTGTCTGGGGGGTGGGGGTGGGAAAAGGGCCACTGAAGACCTGGGGCTGTTGGTGGCACCAGTGAGCTCCCGAGTGCGGACCACGCCCCGAGGCCGAGCTCAGGGGCCAGGCTGTTCGGACCCTGGTCCCGCCGGGCCCCCAGGACCGCAGGGAGCTACATAACCTCTCTGCACTCGGGAAAGACACCTCACAGGCCCTTGTGAAAACTGGCCAAGTCCGTAAGCATTTTGATCAGTACCCGGCACGTACAAACACCCCACAAAGGGTGGCTCTTATGCTCACGTCCTTCTGTCAGTCAAATGAGAGGCTCAAGGAGGTCAGGGGATTGGCCCAGATCACGTGCTACCACGTGGCACCAGCCAGCCACCCCTTGCTCCCCACTTGTTGCAACTGGAAAGCAAGAGGCCTGCTAGACTGCCTCCGAGTGCCCGTCCCGCGGGTCACCTCTAAGCCCCAGGTGATGCACTGAGCCCTTGTGTTGGGACAGGGCCTCACTCACGCCCTCCCACGGTTTCCTGAGGAACACCCTGGGGCTCATGGGAGTCCCCCCCCCCCCCCGCCACGGAAAGCGGCAGAGGCAGGTCTGGACTCAGCTCGGCCCGTGGCCAAAGCCTATTCTTTGCACATCAACACACCCATCTGCTCTCAGGTTGCCCTGAGGCCCGGACACCTTGCATCTTTTGTTCCAGAAGCTACAGCTGACAGACGTGCAGCCACGTCATCCACAGAGTCAGGGGTGGGAGCACGAGGTGAAGACGCTCTCTGGGCAACGGCCACCTGTCGGCCGTCGCTCAGCCGAAACCTCATCTGGACAGGAGCCCCGGGCCAGCCACCTACCACGGGTGCCTCAGGCGGGGCGATGCGGAGGCCCTGGGACAGGATGCCGGCGAAGTTGGTGGCCCTGGAGCCGTGCCACAGCAGCCGGCGGTTATGCAGCTGCCGGAATGGCTCGTAGCGCCGGCTCTCGCCCTCGCGCTCGATCGTAAAAATCTGCTCGGGGGTTAAGGGAAGACGACGCAGGAAGCCACGTTACTCTAACAGCCAGACCCACCAGACCCGGCAGACAGGCCAGCTGTCCCAAAGACGCGGCCCACCGCGACCTGGAAGGAGGTGGGGTCAGGTGGGGACAAGCTGCCCTGCGCAGGACCCCCAGGCGCTTCACAGCGCGTCTGTCTCAGTGTACTTTCCGGTTCTCAAACGAGGCTTTGAGATCGGAAATGAACAAAAAAGATTAGGAAAAGAACCCAAAGCCACCCCCAGACCCTAAGACTAATTTTTCTTTCCACAAACAGTTCCTCTAGTCATTTAAAGCGAAGCGTCCTTTTCTACCTAGGCCCAGGCTGGAGGGAGCGGGCAGGAGGATTCTTACATCAATAACCTCCAGGTCGTACGCGTTGTGCGTGGTTGCGTGAGTGTTCTTAACATACTTCCTGATGGTCTCCGCTTCCTCCGAATCTCTGTCCACCACCTAGAACAATGTCGTGGAGTCAGAGCGAGGGGGAACCCCAGCAGAGCCACCCAACACGGGGGCCAAGAGATGTCCCACAGCCAAGACTGCAATCAGAAGCCGAAACAACCCCATAAACTGTCGGGATTTGAGGACAACCAACGCTCCGCATCTTTGAATCCTCAGGGCCCCGCCAGGTAATGGTCAATTTGTCAACGTAATCTCCGCCACACAAACACGAGTGCACCACGGGAAAGGCTGTGTTTTCTATTTTTGTATTTTTAGCCAAAGTGCAGAAAACCCAGGAATTCTGCTTTTCCTCACAACTTAATTCAAAGGCTTCAGGACAGAGAAAAAGCCCTGCATAGACAACCATGCCCACAGCATTCCCATCAAGAAGGTGCCCCAGGGACCAAACAAGTGACATTTGGTGGCTTATTCTACCCGGACCCACAGATCTATGCTCTGTCCTAGGCAAGAAGCAGAGGCTCTTTGCAGTGATGTAAACACCCCATCCCAGGCTCAAGGGAACCCGCCACACCGCAGGATCCCAGGAGGTGAGATGCGGGTGAGACCAGGCTCAAGGTCAAGGCAAGCTAGGGACCAAGGCAGGGTGACTTCTGCCCCAGCATGGCCACCTCAGCCCGAGAGTAGGAATCCAGGCCCCGTGCACTCATTACGGCTGTCACCAGGCACTTCCGCTTCTGAAATGGGAATGACAAACCTCCTAAAGCTCGTAAGTCTCCAAAATCAGATCCTCTCCAGATTAAGGAAAAATGAACCTTCTGGAAGGCCGCTCAAAAACGAGTCTCTGTACCCAAGGCCCTGGCTTGGAAGCCTGCCCGGCCAAGGTGCTTATTTCCAGGTGAGACATCCTCGGGTTTCCACGGGCCGTGAGCACAGCATCTGGGAATATGCTGGAAGTCCAGCTCCTGGGCACCAGCAATCTGTTTCAAGGAGCTCTCCAGGAGAAATGCATTCCATTTTGGGGATGAGCGGTTAGATGGGCGGCCTGTTACCTTAATATCAGTCTTGAGCTTCTCATAGTTGACGTCGATGGGGTCCTTGCTACCGTCATCAGAGCCCCCCCTGAGCAGACTGTAGGCCACCTCAATGTCTAGCAGGTTGTCCAGCATTTCCACCTTGGCCTGGAGGAACAGACAGAAAACCTTGGGCCTGGGACCAGGGTGAGGGAGACATATCTAGGTCTGGCAGAGAAAACCCACATGCAGATAACGGTTGGGACAGTGAAGGGGGGCCTCCGAGCTGGTTGGGGACACCCTGTCACCCACCCGTTGCTCGTAGTGAACACTGCCGGGATGTCCTGGGATGCCAAGGGGGGGCGTGCTCCCTGGGGGAAGGGAGAGCCAGAAGTTACAAGGCTACAGCAAGAACGGGGCGGGGGTGGCTATCGCTGGCGAGACAGGGAGGGAAAACCCGCCTGTCTGGCCTGTGGTTGGTCTCTTCGATGTGGGAAGAAATGCTACTTCAAAACGGGGGCCCAGAGGTGGGGCCCCTGCCCTGAGGGAGTGCCACCCAGGCCTGCACCTCCCTCCGGAAGCCCCGGGCTACCTGCACACAGTCCGCATTGTTTAGGAGTGGGGGCTTCTTCATCCCAAAGTCGTGGGGAATCAGGGTGTAGAAGCGATTAGAGAGATCCAGGATCTGGGAGTCACTGCTACCCTGGGACACCGCCTTCAGGGGAGGGGACAGAGACGGAGACAGCGAGTCTGACATGGCTCGGTGTGGGCACGAGCCAGGAAACGCAGGGAAAATGTTCAAGACCAGCTCATGTTGGTGTCGAGCCGGCCCGAGTGCAGGATCCCCCTCCCCGCGTAAACTTTCACTTCTACGGAGACCTGTGACACCCCCACCACCGCAAGGTGTCAACTGTAGCATCTAGGTAGTGGGTTCATGTGCACTTTTTTTTTTTTTAAAGATTTTATTTATTTATTTGACAGAGAAAGAGAAACAGCATGAAAGGGGATAGGGTCAGAGGGAGAAGCAGGCTCCCCGCCGAGCCGGGAGCCTGATGTGGGACTCGATCCCAGGACTCCGGGACCATGACCCGAGCCGAAGGCAGATGCTTAACCATCTGAGCCACCCAGGCGCCCTCATGTGCACTTCTAATAAAACTCTTTCAACTGTTTCAATGTTTGGGAACTTCTCACAAGTCAAAAGGGGAAATTCACTGCTATGAATTCTGGCAGCCCGCCCCTTATCCACGGATCTTCAGCCTTATTTAAGGGAAGGAATTCGCTTTTCTTGCACATGAAAATTCAGGTGGCCACACACAGGCTAAGTTCCCCTTCCTGCATCAGTGCCCATTCGTGCTCTGTTTGCAGAAGGTGCTCAATAAATGCAGAGATGGAAGAGCAGGACCGCTGTGATGCTGGGCGGGCACCTGGGTGGCCACAGGGTAGTGGAAGGGCCGCGATCTGGCCCCCTGCAGGCCTCCCACCCCCCCATCCTCAATTTCCGTCTGTGTTGCAGTTGGCTCTGCGCCATGGGGAAGGATGCTCTCCCGGCCTCTCCCCCGGGATTCTGGAACAGGGAAGGGGCCGGGGCTCAGGATCAGCTGCGTCTCAGCACCAGCTGAAAGTCTGCTTCCCGGGAGCCCCCCCCCCCTTCACAGGCCAGCCCTGCACCTCGGCCCCGCAGGGCGCAGCAGGAAGGCCCCGCGGACTGGGGGACCCTGTGGGGTGCCCGGTGAGGTGCTGACCAATGAGCATGAACCAAAGTGAGGAAATACTTTGCTCTCTTTGATTTCCCAGTAACTGCAAAATAATTTCAGCCTCTTTTTAAAACATTTTAAGTCATCTCTACACCCAACGTGGGGCTTGAACTCAAGACCCCGGAGATCAAGAGTCGCACACTCCACTGACTGAGCCAGCCAGGTGCCCCAATTTCAGCCCAATTTTTAAGGATTTTATTTATTTGACAGAGAGAGAGAGAGTGAGAGCAGGAACACAAGCAGGGGGAGTGGGGAGAGAGAGAAGCAGGCTTCCTGCCGAGCAAGGAGCCTGATGCGGGGCTCGATCCCAGTACCCTGGGATCACGACCTGAGCCGAAGGCAGCCGCTTAACGACTGAGCCACCCAGGCGCCCCTCAACTCTTTTTTTTTTTTTTTTTTAAAGATTTTATTTATTTATTTGAAAGAGAGAGAATGAGAGAGAGAGCACATGAGAGGGGGGAGGGTCAGAGGGAGAAGCAGACTCCCCGCCGAGCAGGGAGCCCGATGTGGGACTCGATCCAGGGACTCCAGGATCATGACCTGAGCCGAAGGCAGTCGCTTAACCAACTGAGCCACCCAGGCGCCCGCGCGCCCCTCAACTCTTAAGGACACACAAAATCAGGATGTTTTTATGAGGCAGGAGAACCAAATACCTTACTCAGTTTATAGGGAGTTTATTACCTATCTGATCACTGAAAACACGGCTACTTCCTTAGTTCTGTGACCACCATGGCAAGGAGCAGGCACTTACCATATTTACAGAACTGAAAAAGCCTCTAGGTCTTCAGGCATCGGGGCGCGGTACCTCCCTGACCCTGCACCCCGCCCCCCACACGAGCTGGCCCGGAGTGGCGGCCCCCGCCTACCTGCTGCACCTCACTGAGGATGGAGTACGCCGCCTGGATCTGCCTCTTGCTCAGCTTCCCCAAGGGCATCTTCTGAAGGTCAATCTGAGGAGACAGGGGAATTTTCCCTTGGAAAGCCGCTCTGTGCAGCGGACCACAGGTGAGCTGGCGAGTGCCCCCTTGGGGCTCCCGGGCCTGGCTGGCAGCAGAGATCCAGCTCCGTCTGCTGCCCTGCCCGCACCGTGGGGTCTGTGTGAGGGTCCCGCTTGCGTCGTTTACAGCAGCCACGGCACCTCCACCCCCACACTCCGTCTGCACTGGCCCAGCACAACTCTCACCCAGTTCCAAAGTAAGGATGAGGGCCAGCCCACATGGCCTTCCCTGGGGCCTCAGAGCCAAGGCAGTTCCCAATTGAATAAGGACCATAAACTGGTAAAGAATGTTTTTTTTAAAAGTACAGGCTCCTATATGTATTGATATTCAAATTAACGCTCTTTTTCAAATCAATTACCCTGAAAAGTTACATGTTTATTCTAGCAATACGGCTTCTGCTCACATCTTGGGAATCACCATCAAGATAAGTGGCAAATGTAGCGGGAAAAGCACGCGACCCGCTGCTAGCTCAGCAGGCGTCTACGCTCAGCTTCCATCTCCCACCCAGAAAATGGGGCCACCTTCCTCCAAAGGCACCCACGCCCCCTGTGGGGGAGTGGCCTGTGTGGCCTGCGCCGAGCCCCTCCGGAGTCCCCAGGGCCACCCTGCACCTCCACACCCGCAGTGCACAACACAGAAGGAGCTGCGCGAGCGCTGGGGTAACGAACGGGGAGCGGCAGCAACAAGCAGGAGGACAGGCAGGGGACACGGCCACCTGCCCCAACCACCCCCCAGCTCGCCGAACAAACGATGAGCGCAATAACCTCGTATTCCACCATGGCTTTCTTCATACTCTCCACGTCGAAGATCATCTTAATGAGCTCCTGCACGGGCTTGGGGAGCTTGGACTTGGTGCCGGGGCTCACCGTCAGATTCTTGACTGCCTCTTCATCCTTTAGGAAAAAGAAAACTGGTTAGAGACCCTCTTCAACAACCCAAGCCAAGTGGTGGTATCTGGGCTGCAGACGAAGGAGCCACAGGATTGGGTGCCACCAGCAGCAGAGGTTGAGCGATCAGGGACAAGGCTGAGGTAGCAGGTGCCAGGAACACGGGTCTGCACCGGGACCAGACACTTCCCGTGAGCCCCCAAGTCCCTGTGGCTACTCCAGACCCTTCCTCCAACCTGCCACTGCAAGCGCCCAGCTCCGTGCCGGCTGACCTACCCAAGGCCCACGCCGCCACCAGGGCAAACCACGGACCAAGGGGACACCGGACCAATTCTCCCCTTTCTTGTACTGTCTCATGCCAGGGCCAATAGCCTTTTACAAAGTCCCAAAGATCCAAACACCCAGACCCATTTCCTGCCACACAGACCGACGGCATGAACTCCATCCTCTGCTGCCCCCTCTGCCCCCCCCCACCGCGGTCACACTTCCTGACGAGCTAACAGCACAAGACTACACTCCTGCTCTTTGGGGAACCCAGGCTAAGTCAGGACCACTGGGCACTGGAAACGTCTGAACCCTCATCACTTATGAACGGGGGGAGGGACTGCGCCCTGTCCCTCAGTGTCCCTAGCAACTAGCCTGTTTGGTGTTTGCTTTGAGTGGACACCGGTCCTGGTATCTGTTGAGCTCGCCCGAGCTGCGTGCTGGGCCGCGGGCCGTGTTCACACTCCAGGTTGCGGCTGCCAGCTACGCTTCCTGTCCCAGCACGGACTCTTTAGTGCTTTCATGTTCCCGGCTTCCAGCTCCCCAAGGAGGCCAACTGTTCATGGTGAAAAGCTTTGTTTAAATGCATGTACTCTGTGACCCGGTATCTCCCTCTCTAGGGGTAACAGCCACAGAGATTTTTACGTATTCAGTAGCATCGTTATAGAGAACTTATAGACCATAAACTACTACCTCTGACCATCTGTGTAGCCCTAACACATGTCGCTCTAGGCCAGTGCACTTGAATTCAGTGGCCCCTGGTTTTGAAAGGAGGCCAGTCTGAACGGAGACATACTGCAAGGGCTGAAAACACACACTTCAAAGATTTGCCTTCAAAAAAAGGGGGGGGGGGAATATAAATTACTAAGATTAGTTTCATAGTTTTTTTCTGCTTTTTTTTTTTTTAAGATTTTATTTATTTATTTGAAAGAGAGAATGAGATAGAGAGCATGAGAGGGGGGAGGGTCAGAGGGAGAAGCAGACCCCTCGCTGAGCAGGGAGCCCGATGCGGGACTCGATCCAGGGACTCCAGGATCATGACCCAAGCCGAAGGCAGTTGCTTAACCAACTGAGCCACCCAGGTGCCCCGTTCTTTTTGCTTTTTAAAATGAACAAAACAGGGATGCCTGAGTGGCTCATTAAGCGTCTGCCTTCGGCTCAGATCATGGTCCTGGGGTCCTGGGACCTAGCCCCACATTGTGCTCCCTGCTCGGCTGGGAGCCTGCTTCTCTCTCTGCCCCCTTCCCCAACACCACTCACGCTCTCTCTCTCTCTCGCAAAAATAAATAAAAATACTTAGAAAATATTTTCGAATTTATTTGTGATTTCTTTTTTGATGCTTGAGTCATTTAGAAGTATGTTATTTTGGGGTGCTGGGTGGCTCAGTTGTTAAGCGTCTGCCTTCGGCTCAGGTAATGATCCCAGGGTCCTGGGATCGAGCCCCGCATCAGGCTCCCTGCTCCGTGGGAAGCCTGCTTCTCCCTCTCCCACTCCCCCTGCTTGTGTTCCTGCTCTCGCTGTGTCTCTGGTCAAATACATGAAATCTTAAAATAAAAAAAAAAACAACACAAAACAACGCAGTTACTGAAATATCAAGGCCACGTAGGTGGTTGTGTATCTCTATTGGGACAGCATCTTCCAGAAGCTGCCGTGGTGGGTGGCGGGGGGGGGACGATGAAAGGGCGCCCCTTCCTTCTACTGGAAGCAGACAGTGCAAGAGCAGGGATTACCTGGCCATAGTCAATCTCCAGAGGGTAGAACTTTTTGGGATACTTCGTGAAGTTCTTGGAGTGCCAGGCATTCCCAGTTTTCTCTTCGTACAGCTTCATGAAGTGCTCAATGGCGTCTTCCTTGGATGGGACCTGCTCCAGTTTGTTACTGCCGATGACTGTGCCCACGCGGCCCCACGACCTGAAGATCCAGTACCTGCGAGGGTGCGGGGAGGACAGGAGGAGGGTCACACACAAACCTGTGGCTTGGCTGCTCACGTGTCGGCAACAGTCCCCCTTCCCTTCCGTTCCGCTTGGGGGACAAAGAGCTCCACCCCCACGACGATGCTGATAGGCACAGAAGGACAAAGGAAACTCGACGCGACGGGGTGGGGTGGGGTGCGTGCACGTGTGTCAGCGGCATGCAGGCCGGGCCTCAGGGTCAGGCCATCGCTCTGGGTTCCCATGGCAACCGGGCCCCACACACTGGTACCCTAGGTGCCCTGCTGCTCAGCTTTGGGGGAGCTCATTTCTCTTGGTGGAAAGAATGAATGACATAATGCATCATGTAAAGATATATCAGAACCTCAAATACAGGGGCACCTGGGCGGCTCAGCTGGTGAAGCATCTGACCTCAGCTCAGGTCATGATCTCAGGGTCCTGGGATCGAGCCCTGTGTCAGGCTTCTCCCTTTGCCTCTGCCCCTCCCCCTTGCTCGTGCTGTCTCAAATAAAGTCTTAAAAAAAAAAAAGAACCTCAAATACAAGAGCTGTATGTACTTTTCTTTCTTTTTAAAGATTTTAAGAGAGCACAAGAGCAAGCACTCACGAGAAGGGGGAGGAGCTGAGGGAGAGAGAGAAGCAGAGTCCCTGCAGAGCAGGGAGCCCAATATGGGGCTGGATCCCAGGACCCTGTGATCATGACCTGAGCTGAAAGCAGACGCTTAACTGACTGAGCCACCCAGGCGCCCCGACTTGTATGCACTTTTAAGTAAACCAAAGATCTCAAAGAAAATCTGGGGCTTCCTGGGCTCTTGCCCAGAGGCACAGGTCACTCTCTCCTCGGGTTTCCCTGGAAATGTTTGGGAGGTGCTATACTGAGCTGTCCTGAAAAGCGTCCTTAACTGACAGCCCACGTTGCCCATTCACTGTGAAAACCAGTAAGACCAGGTCACCAGAGCAGGTGATAAACCACATGACATCGGACTTATTTCTTCAGAAAATCTATTTAGCCTACTAGATACTCTGGACTTTTAGGATCCCTTCCAATATTCACTTTTGGAGGAAAGTTCTGGTGAGAAGCTGAGGTAATGGAAGAACACAGCCGCCGGCCAAGGCTTCCTAGGGGCTGGTGTCGCGCCCCCGGGGCCGCCGCTACGCCGTACCTTTCAACCACCAGAGTTCCGGTGGGGAAGCTGCTTCCACTTGCTGACAAGAAACTGTCTCGGTTTACCCATGAGAGTTGGGACTAGGGAATTTGAAAAAACATTAAAAGACCAAGTTTGGGTCCACGTGTGTTCAGCAATCAGAGGCTCTGGATTCTTCAAGGAGCTGTAAGCAGAGTCTTGGGAGATGGTGGGCAGCACGTCCCGTGAAGTCAGGGAGCTGGATGGATGCCAAGGAGCCAGCCCGTGTGGGCGCCGGCATCTTCCCTCTCGCTGAAGGCACCACACCCCTCACAGGCCCACCCCCTTCATGGGGCCACCTTCTAGGGATTCCGCCCTGTACCCACAACACACCTGCTTTCTTTGTCATCCTCCAGGAGCTGCAGCTTGTAATAGGAGTTAGTTCCCTTCACGATGTCCACCAGGCCAAGGGTGGCGCTGAACACCTTCCCACCTTTCTCCAGGACATGTGCAGAATGTTCCAGACCTGTCGCAGAGGCAAGGCGCCTGCAGGTGGGGGATTCAGACCCGCCTGGACACTCTACTGCCACGTTTGGGAGGCTCCCCAAAAGACCCACGTGTCCTCAGGACCAGGGGAGCCCAAGGAAGCAGGAGGGCACAGGTGTGGTCCAGGTGCCCCTGGTCTCCTGACCACCCACCCGCTCACACTCCCGTGTGCTCACCTGAATCTGGATCGACAGCAGCTCCACCTTTAAGAGTTAACTTCATTCTCTTCTCAGATTTATTGATGCCTTGAAAGGAAACAAGAAACGAAAATGTTTGAGTGAAATGAAACCAGAAAGTAGGGGTGGGGTGCAAGGCAGGGTGAAGGGGCCAACAGGGCTCTAGGCAGCCTCGGCCAGAGTGTCCCAGGAGCACGCGGACCTGGGGCCTCACCTTCCTCCTTGACAGGGCCCTTGCTCTTCTTGGACAGCGCAGCCCCCGACTTTGCTCTCGAGGCCGCAGGCTCCGCCGGCTCTGCCTTCACCTCAGCGCCCCACGGGGCCAGGACGTGGGCTGAGAGCAAGTCCTGCAGGCTCCTGGTGGAATCGGACACGTCCCGGAGGAAGTCCTCGGACACCACGTGGATGCTGGCCTCTCGCACCTCCTCCATCTTCTTGTTCATCTTCTCCACCTCCTCTGTTCAAATCAGGGCCAAGAACAACTGGCATGTTAGTGTGAAGTGAAGCCAGAGCCCCACCGAACGAGCCCCCTCCTCGTCACCTGGCACGGGGGGTGGCCGACGGTGCGGGCAGGTGTACCCCAGGGGAGGAGTTGTGGTTTGACAGCGGGCGCTAGCCCCCCCGCCCGGCAGGATGCCTCTATTCTGCCCCTCTGCTGGACCCTGCACGTGCGCAGCCCCCCTCGCCAGCAGGATGCATCTGTATTCTGTCAATAGTTTCCCTGATGCGAGGAAGCTTTCTAATTTGATGGAGCCCCGCTGGGCTGGTCTTGGTGCCACAGTCGAAAATCACGAAAATCAAGGTCGAGGGGCTCGCCGTCTGTGTTTTCTCCCACAAGTTCTATGGCTCCGGGGCTCCATCCAATTTGAGTGAATCCTGTGAGTGGCATCAGGCAGGGATCCGGCTGTCCCCACACGTGAACCTCGGCTCTCTGTGGTAGATGCACTTGGCGCACACATGGCGGCTTACTGCCGGGCTCTCTAGGCCGTTCGGTGGATCCACGCGTGTCCCTACGTCAGCTCCGTACCGTTCCGATCGCTAGAGCTTGTGACGTAGTTTGCAATCAGGGAGCGTGAGGTCTCCTGCTCTGTCCCTTGTCACGCTGGCTCTGGCTTTCTGGAGTCTGTGGCTCTGCACACGTTAGGACCATCTGCTCCAGTCCCGGAGACCAGCCCTGGGCTTCCACAGGGTCTGCCGGAGTCTGTGTGGAGTGCACCTCACGACCCTTACTTCCAGCTCCCAACTTCCTAAATTACTTACCTCCGATTCTGCAAGACTTTTTTCCTCTGAGACCATCTTGTGCTGTCATTTGGAAGATACTCCCGTTTCTTCATTTTGCCTCTCTACGGGTTTCCATCGGTCGGCGAAACAAGCACGTCTCCCGGTCCTGAAGGAGCACCCTCTTTGTGCAGCCCTGCCCCCGCTCTGTGGCCCCACAGAGCCCTGAGCTTGTCCACGCCCCCCGAGGTTGCAGACGTGCAAGGCCATTGGCGTCTCCAAGGGCAGGAGCTCAGGCTGGTTGAGAACAGCAGCAGGCAGCCTTCGGCTGGGGATGGAAGGCGTGTGCGCACACACACAACAGAGCAGCGTGCAAATACCGGCACTGGCCTCCCCTCACAAACGACCCAAACAACGCTGCTGACCAAAGAAGAGACCCATCTGGGAGTGTCCTGTGGGTGCCACGCCGCACTCAGCGCGTCCCCTCCCTCAACCTCACTGCCCTCACAAGAGGCATGGCATGTCCCTCCTTTACAAACCAGATTCAACTCACTTTTGGTACTGATGCACAGGGAGGCCTTGTTGGCTGTGCCCGTCAACTTCCCCCCGAGTTTCTCGATCATGGCCTTCACCTCATCCTTGTTCCGGGAGAGTTTCCCAAGAGTCAGGATCTTCATGTTGGACAACGGCTTTTCTGGGACGAGAAAACAGTTGTCAGGCTGTGAGGTCCCAGGAAGGCCGGGACACCCTCAGCTCTCCTTTGATCGGCATCCCCGAGGGAAAAGTCTAGGACAGCAGAGGCCCAGGGCTAGTGGGAAAGCAGAGGACAGGACAGCACGCGGAGAGCCTGTCCCGTCCCTTGGCACACAGAGGACCAGGCCGGGGGAGAAGCCACACGATGACTCCTGGCCCTGCCCCACAGGCAGACCCGGAAAGCTGCATGCGGGGACCACGAGGCTGCCAGTGGGATGGGAAGAGGAGAGGCAATCAGGTGAGCTCCCAATTACTTTTTTTCTTTCCCCAACCCACATCTAAAAATAAACCGCAATTTCTTATGTGATACCTATTAATTAACTCCACCCAACGAACCAGTCTCCCCAAGGCAGTCACTCAAAGCTTCAATCAGCAGGACACTGAGCAGGGTAACTGATTCCAGGCACAAGGCAGAACCCGGCACTTGAGGAGGCTGGAAAGGCCCTCGACAGAGCAGTGTCTGTCTGTGGCGGAGGCGGACAGGTGCCGCCTACGCACTCCCAGCACAAGAACCCGGAGGGAGGCCCCCAAGCCCTCCATGAGGGCAAGTCAGCGCTGACCCGACACGTGCACCGGAGCACAGACACACGTCCCTCCCCAGGAGACGGCAGGTCACCAACAGGCTCACGTTCAGGGTCAGACCCTGGTCCTCTGCCCACCCGACTATGGCTGTAACCCTCAGGCTCTGTCACATGTCTCGGAGTGAACAAAAGCAGGGAGTCTCTTCAGCAGACAGAAAACCCCAAACTGGTGTTCCTGCACCTGCCGGTGAGGCGTGTTCGCCCTCAAACGGGTCAGTCAGTCTGCGCTGTGGGCCAGGCACACAGCACGTCTTGGCATGCAAGAGCCATGAGCGTCCCATCAGGCTCAGGATGCCCGATGGGGGTAGGGCTGCCGGGAGGCGGGAAAGCAAGGTCTGCCGGGTGGGCAGGAGGACATTCGGAATGTCATTCTAGGTACGGCCCACTGGGCCTTTCTCGGGAGAACGCCTCCCAAGCACCTTCCTCCTGCTGAGGGGAGCCTGGCAGGCCTTCCCCACAGGATCGGCAGACAAGAGGACCCACAGGGAGACCCTCCTCTTGCTCAGGTCAGGGCCCCAGCCCCCGCCCCCAGCTGTACCTGGTGGAGCGGAGCTGTTCACACTGGCAGGCGCCGAGGCTGTGGAGGGCGGGGGTGCCACCGCCGCTGGGGCACTGGTCTCAGGGGGAAATATTCGGTCCTGCTTTTTGGTCTTCAGTTTTTTGAGGTAAGAAATTTCTCGGAATTCCTAAAGAATTTAAGTTTCAGTTAAGAAACCAGTTCTTGGGCGCTTGGGTGGCTCAGATGGTTAAGCGTCTGCCTTCGTTCGGCTCAGCCAGGGTCCTGGGGTCAAGTCCCGCATCGGACTCACCCTTGAGGGGCCCCTCACGGGCCGCATACCCACCTCCCGAGACTGCACGCACTGAGAAACTGTATTTCCTGAGAGAAAATCAGGAGTTTCCCTCCCTTCCTATGAGGGAACGTGGCTGCAGATAGCCCGACGACAGTGTTCAATACGGACTCTGCCAAAAGTCGGTTCACCTTCCTCCCGGAGACTGACAACGGGCTCTGCTCCAGGCAGTCACTCTGGGAGCGTCCGACACATGGAGTTCAGGGAACAGCATGGTCCCTGTGCTCCTACACCTTCACCCAATCAAGAAGAGGCTGCTCCCGCCGTACCCGTGCTCAGTGAAAGCCCCAAGAACAGGGTCCAACACATGCTGAGCACCTACTGTGCCATGGATCACCATGAAGTCATAAAGACAGTTTCTTCCTTTGAGAAACAAGCTCAGTCCTCATGGAGTCAGATACACGAAAACTAACTTTAACACAGGAGCGAGGCTCTACAACGAACATGCCAATGGGACACAGACGGGGAACTCCAAGAGGGCTCCTCGGAGGCAGTGACTGCTCAGATGGCTAGGGGCTGGAAAGGCAGGGCTCATGCAAAGACATGTGGCCGACACACTGTGGTATGCGGGGAACGCTGGCTGGTTAGTGCCCTGTTGCGGGGAGTGTGGAGAGCTGGAGATACGGCATGTGCATGCACGGGCAGTGAGAACAGAGCCTGAGGACGGCAAGGGCGGAAGAAGGCCCACAGAGCCGGGCAGGTCCCGGGGAAGCCGGAGTGGACCTTGACTCTGCCGGCCGCGCTGCGGGGACAGCAGTCTCACATGGGGCTGCAAGTCCAGGACTCTGCACGGGTGGCAAGCACCGTGGACCCGAAAATGGGTCTTACACATGCAGGCACCTTCCAAAATAAACACGGATGCCGTGCAACTGGTATATGAAACACACAACGGCTCCTATCTCTCACCATCTTATTTTCTCAAAGAACTCAGAAAAACCCGGGGAATATTTCCACGAGAAACGGGGACGGGTGTAAGGCTGTAAAAATACGGGGAGTGAGGGGGTCAGAGTGCTTTCGGAGCGACCACTCAAGAGAACGTGCAGAGGCGGGGGGGGCTGGGGTGTAATTTCGGCCGTGAGCGGGGGGGGCAAGAGGGCCGCGGGACACCCAAGTGCCTACTACGTGCTGCTGTCCCAAAGGCTCAGCCCCTGCACTTCGCAAGGGAGGGAGGCCACCCGGCCGAGCTCAAAGCCCAAATCCTGGGGAGAGGCAGCCCGGCGCCGGCTCGCACCGAGTCTCAGGGTGCAGGAGAGTCCCAATTGAGGTTCCCTGAGTGAGCTTTTAGCATCCTGAGAATTCAATATGCATTTTCATTAAAAAAAAAAGGGGGGG